TCTTCAACATCGAACAAGAGAAGGCGCTGATAAGCTACATTCTCCAGGCCAGCGACATCAACTATGGAATCAGTTTGAAGGAGTTTCGTAAGCTCGCGTATGAATTTGCTCGGAAAGTTGGCGCGTCGTATCCGGATCCATGGAACGACAATCAACAGGCGAGTAAGGATTGGCAGTTGGCGTTCATGAAATGCCACAAAAATTTGCCACTGCGAACACCAGAGCAAGTAAGCCAGAGCCGTGTGAAGCGATGCATTCTTTGCCAACCTTTCATCCGTTCTCGGTAAGACGCCGTTTGAACCTCACCGAATATGGAACATGGATGAAACCGAGTGCCCGACCGTGCCAACCAGACCTGTCAAAACCATCGCGCGCAAAGGACAAAAGCAGGTCGGCTCATCAACATCTGCCGAAAAAGGCACCAATGTGTCTTTGGCTTTGGCCGTCAGCGCTAGTGTCCAGTCTATACCGCCATTCTTCCTCTTTCCCCGAGTCAACATGAAAGAGATGTTTATGACTCATGCGAGTCATGCGCGGTTGGTGTTGCGAACGGTTCTGGTTACATGAACTCTGACGTATTCCCTCAATTCATGCCTCATTTCATCAAGCACACCGGTGCTAATGCCGATTCSCCAACCATGTTGCTGCTGGACAACCACGGTTCGCGTTTATCGATCGCGGCGATAGATTTGGCGTTGGATCGTGGCATCACTTTGCTGTCTTTTCCGCCGAAATGCACTCACAAAATGCAGCCGCTAGATGTTGCGGTATTTGCATCATTTAAGGGCATGATGACCGTGAAGCATGATGCATGGAAAAAGTCCAACAACCCGCAAATTTTCACTGAAGTTGACTTTGTCGCTTCGGAACTGAGCGGCGAAAATTTGTTCGGTGACGAAGAGAAAGACGCCGACAATCAACGTCGAGTTGTTGCCTCTGGTGATGCCATTGTGACTGCTGCGAATGAGGAGGTGTCAACGTCGGAGGCATCGACAAGTGCCCCAGCTTCAACAAGAGGTGCTGCATAATCATCGTTGTCTCTTGTTTTGGCTCAACAGCTCCGTGATGCATTGAAATCGGTTGGCCCGT